CGGCCCCGCGGTGAGTGCTGCCGCGTACCGGCCCCTTCTCCGAGGAAAGGGGAGTCCCCTGAGCCGGGCCCCGGCACTGTCGGCACCTGGGGCCAGGCGATGAGCAATGTCCTTGCTGGCATCGCCAGGCCCTTGTTGCACTTCAGTGGCCATGGGCGCATCAGGGCCCTTTCTCCCGTTCCGGCTCATCCCCGGCACACACGGCAAGAAGGAGTAGTGATGGGTTTTTTCCCTTCTCCCAGCCGAGGATGACAAGCTGCTGTCCGAGCCTCTCAGCCACCCCGACTTCTTCAACGTGAAGGAGCTCTTCTCCCTGAAAGACCTCTTTGATGCCCGGGTGCACTTGGGGCACAAAAAGGGATGTCGGCATAGGTGAGTGACCCCATTTTGTCATCCAACATTTGTTGACATTAGGAGTCTCTCCCTTGACCACATCAGCTTTTGGGGGCTGCACTAGATTGATCTGGGTCTGGAACTGCCCACACAGACCCACGTTTCCACCTGGGCACAGTCACTGCCCTGCAAAACTGCAGAGACCCTCAGTCAGCGCGAGCACCGAGTGGGGTGTCAGACCTGCACCCCCCTGAGCCCGGCTGGAACAGGCGCTGCGCACAAGGGTTCTCTGCAGAGAGCACCTCTGGTACCATCTGGGAGCTGGGGTGTGAGAAGGTTTCTGTGGGGCCACGCCACGTTCAGAAACACTGCTCGATGCCTGTAGCGCCCTGTCCCCGCGTCCCCTTGTGTCGCCCTCCCTCTGTCCCTGCAGGTTCATGGAGCCTTACATCTTTGGCTGCCGCCTGGATCAGGACATCATCGACTTGGATCAGACAATGCAGCACCTCCAGCTGGCCCTCAACTTCACCGCCCACATCGCCTACCGCAAGGGCATCATCCTCTTCATCAGCCGCAAACGCCAGTTCTGCCACCTGGTTGAGAGCACGGCACGGGAGTGTGGGGAGTACGCCCACACCCGCTACTGGCAGGGCGGCCTGCTCACCAACGCCCACGTCCAGTTCGGGTCCGGCGTCCGCCTGCCCGACCTCATCATCTTCCTCAGCAGCCTCAACAACGTCTTTGAGCCCCACGTGGCCATCCGGGATGCTGCCAAGATGAACATCCCCACCGTGGGGGTGGTGGACACGAACTGCAACCCCTGCTTGATCACCTACCCCATCCCTGGCAACGACGACAGCCCCACCGCCATGGAGCTCTACTGCAAGCTCTTCAGGATGACCATTATCCGCGCCAAGGACAAGAGGCAGCAGAGTGAGGTCTTCAACGAGCTGCGGAGCAAAGCGGAGGGCAATTAGAGCCCTAGGGACAGGCTCGGCCGTGCCCAGCGGCTTGGTGATGGGCATCCTGCTCCGCTCCCGCGGGCGCTGCAGGACTGACCCTGCACCCAGAGCACCAGCTTTCGGCAGAGCTGGGCTGGTTGCGGAAGGGAACCCCCAGCTCTGCTGCTGCGCAGAGATCCCGCGGTGGCCGCAGCTGCGGTGGGTCTCTAGCTCAAAAAAAAAAAAAAAATTGTCCGGAGCGATGCAAGGGGAGACGGAGCCGGGTCAGACCCAGCTCCCGTCCTTGTGTTTGTCCCTGTTGCAAGGAGGTGCCTCTGTCCTGTGGCCTTGCTGTTCCTGAGCTTGTGATCTCACCTGAAACCACTTGTGTCTCGCTCCTTTTCCTGACACGACAAATAAAGGGCCCTGTGATCCTTTTTCTTTCTTTCCATGTGAAATGGGAAGGTAGGGGGGAGTCTCCGGCAAACATTCATGGTCACGGGATGGGGGTGAAGGGTGTTCCCAGCCTGGGGACCCACAGGGTGTTGCAGGCTGGGAGCAGGAGGGGTGCGAGTCTGGCCGGTGCATCACAGGCTTGGAGGGTCCCCGCTTCCCCGCGTTTGCCCCGGGCTCCCCCCCCTCCCACCGCCACGGGGAGGGGGGGGACTGCAGGGTGCAGCCGAGAAAAGGGAAATCCAGCTCCTAACATGCCTTGTGTCTCCGTGGGAGGGCTTAGGGCAGTCCTGTAGCGTTGGGGGTCAGGCCCAGCGTCGGGAAGAGGTCTGGGCCGGGGGTCCCCGTCCCTGGCCCGCGTCCTGGCCCCGTGTCCCCGGCGCTCGCCCCGGCCGCTCCCTGCCCTGCGTCCTCCCGCCCAGCAGGGGGAGCCCGCGGGAGCGAACGCGCT